CTTGATTATCATTTTGCCTTGAGAGCATTGCCATAAGCTTGGATTCTTTTGTGGACATTAGATTTTAGCTTATTTTCCTCTGTTATAATCCTGTTATTTTGTCTTAATTAGGGTTTTTGTTGCCTTGAAGTGACACCATGACCACAGCAACTCCTACAATGGAAAACATTTATAATTTCAAAAGTTTAGTTCATTATCATCATGGTGGGGAGCATGGTGGCCTGCAGGCAGACATGGGGCTGGAGAGGGAGCTGAGAGTTCTACTCCCAGGTCAACAAGCAGCAGGAAGTGGTCTGTCTCACTGGGTGTTTCTTGCCCTTGAGTAGTTATGCATTTCCTTCAACAAAGCCCTACCTACTCCAAGGCCACACCTTCTAATAGTGCCACTTCCTATTGGGGCTATTTTTATTCCTACTTTTACTTCCTGGCCTCCTATTCCTACTTCAAAAGTCCCCGTAGTCTGTAACAGTCTCCAAAGTTCAAAGTCCCTTTTGAGGCTCATTCTATCTTTTTAACTCATGTAAAATCAAAATCATACAGCAGATCTCATACTTCCAACATATAATGGCACAAGTTATACATTACCATTCTAAAATGGAGGAAAGGGAGCCCAGTGAGAAAATGCCGGACCAAAGCAAAACTGAAAACCAGCTGGGCAAACTTCAAATTCTGTATCTCCGTGTCCTGATGTCAAAACTTTCTTCACATCTCTCTCTTTTTCAAAATCTTTGTTCACTTGTACTGGTTCCATGCCGTTTTATAGCTTTCCTGGGCAAATGTCCCATGGTTCTGGCCTCTCCAACATCTTGGGGTCTCTAAGGCAACCCTTGCTTCACCTTCACAGCTTCACAGATTGACGTCTCTAGACCTCCATTCAGTGATACACCTGACACATGCCTGGTCTCAGACACTTTCTTTAGTCACAGAGGCAAATTTCATAATCCCTTTCTTCAATTCTTGACTCAAAAACCAGAACCGCAGGGTTGGAGCTTCCAAATTGTGCTTCTTGCTAGGGCTGGAACATCACCCTATTGTTTATTTACAGCTTCACCAACTTTCTGTTTTCTATAGTTTTCTTTACCTAAGAACAGCCTAAGTTTGGCTGTCCTGAAACATCTTCTGCAGACCAGGCTGGCCTCAAATTCAGAGATCTGCATCTCTCTGCCTCTGGATTTTTGGGATTAAAGGCATGAGTGTGTGAGAGCATGCACCACCACACCCTCCAAGCTTTCCTTTAATTCCTTTTCAGTTGAAAAGTTGGAAGTTCAGCTAGTTAGGGTCTTACCCTGAGGTCACTCTCTTTATTTAACCTAAGGCTTTTCTTTAATCTGTTTATGTTTTTGAACACAAGATTCAGCTCTATACTACTTCCTGGTACCCCTATTCCCCTTCAACTGTACATTTTAATATTTTTCCCTGCTCAGCTTACTCCTTTTCACTATAGATCTACATAAGACTGAATACTAATAACCTCACAACAGAATCAATACTAGACTCACTTGAAATTTCCTCTGCCAAAGCAATTCAGAACTCTTCAATTGAGCATCCACAGACATTTCAGAGAAGGGAAAAAAGCAGTCACATTCTTCACCAAAATATAAGAATGGTATCTAGGCCACATCTTAATATTATTCTCTTCTGAAGCCTCTTGTGCTAGGGTTCACAGTTAAAATCGCCGTCAGCATCACTGTTGTTATATCCTCTTACTGGTATGGCCCCATAAACAGCACTTAGAGCATTTTATAGCTTTCCTAACCCAGAGTACCAAAGCCCAAATTCCTCCAAACAAAAACATAGTCAGGCCAATTATTGCCAATAACCCAATCTCCAATAACCCAGTCTCTGGTACCAACTTCTCTTTTAGTTAGGGTTTCTATTGCTGTGCAGAGAGACACAGTGACTATGGCAACCCTTATAAGGAAAAATATTTAATTTTAACTGACTTCCAGTTTGAGAGATTTAGGCCATTATTGTCATGGTAGAATGCATGATAGTGTGTGTGCAGACATGGTACTGGAGAAAGAGCTAAGATCATCAGGAAGTGAATGTCTCACTAGACCTGGCTTGAGCATTTGAGTTCTCAAAGCCTGCCCTTAGTGGTGCACTTCCTCCAGAAAGACCACACCTCCTATTAGTACCACTCTCTATAACCCTATGGGGGCCATTTTTATATAAATACTACATCTTTTAAGAATTTGAAAGGTTTAGTTTTTTTTTTTTTAGATTTATTTTATGCACTGTTTTTGGCATTATGGATGTTTATGTGTGCCTCATGCCTACAGAGATCACAAGAAGTATAACCTCCCCTAGAATAGGAGGTACAGATGGTTGTGAACTACAGTATGGATGCTGGGATTGGAACCTGTGCTCTCTACAAGAGCAGTCGATGCTCTTAACCTTAGAACCACCTCTCCAGCCTCAAGGTTTAGATTTTATGTTTATATTTTTGATTCGCTTTTGTATATGATGTAGGGCTTCTAAAAACCATTTATGAAAAATACTGGATCTAAAATTGAAATTATTTTTCCCCTCCTTTTTATTAACATTTGCAATTTACATACAGGATCATGGATTTTTATTATGGCATTTTCATACAGTTATTTCTTTAGACTTTGTATTCATTCTATTCTTTTATCTGATCCTGTGTCCCTGTCACTTTGTACCCTTCTGCCTGGTTTCTTTTCTTTCCTCAGATAACTGTACTTTCTACTATCTTATTACACATGTTCCACAAGTTCCTCTCCCTTAAACATTTCTCCCCTCTCAGATCTATTTCTAGTCTTATGATAAACACACACATGCACACTTTTAAATCTAAGTGCCGTATATAAGAGAGAACATGTAGTGTCTTTCTAACTCTTGCTTATTGCATTTAATATTTAACATGATCTCTGGTTGTTTTTACTTTCATGCAAATGTCATGATTTCAACTTTCTTTACATCTGCATAAAATTCTATTGATTAAACCATTTATTTAAAATTATCATTTTTTCATTAAATGATTTTGATACCCTTGTCCAAAGTCATTTGGCCATGTATACATGTATTTATTTGGCCATGAATGTATATGTTTACTCGACTCTGTGTGTGTTTATTTGACGATGTATGTTTGTTTTAATTTCTGGGTTTTATATTCTGTCCCATTAATCCATGGGTTTGTGTTTGTGCCATTATTGTAGCGTTTTAATTCCTTAGCGATCATAGTAAGTTTTAAAATCAACAAATTTGCATTCTCCATGTAATCTCAGCAATCAGGAGGCTCAGACAAGAGGGTCAGAAGTTCAAGTCCAGCTTGAGCTACATAATGAGAATCTTAGAAAACAGCAAAAATGTGTTCCATGTAGTCTTGGTTGGCAGTTATATTAACGGCATTTCTGGGTACATTCTAGACTCTTTAAAGTTATTGAGATTTATTTGTGATCCAGAATGTCATCTTGGTGAACATTCTGCATTCTTGGAAAAGCATTCACTTTCTTGCCTAATGGGACCTTTGTCATTGTTAATTAGATCATATTGCTTCATAGCTTGTTAAAGTCTCTATTCTGTCTCTTGATTCTCTACTTACTCAGCAATTATAAAATGATGTTTAAATCTCTGAATTGTCTGTTTTATTTCTTCTTCTGTACCATTGAGTTTTTGCATTGTGTATTTTAAAATTTTGTTATTAGGCACAGAAATTTTAGGAATTTTGTGTCTCTATGTGACTTTTTTCTTTAGAGATTCGGTCTCACTATGTAGTGCTGAATGACTTGAAACCCACTGTACTGAGCAGGTTAGCCTTGAACTCACAGAGGTATGCCTGCCTCTGACTACCATATGCAACCAACATTTTTTATCTTTCATAATCTTTGATTAAAAATGTCCTTTTACTTAAGTATTCTGCCTTTAAATTGTTTTTTCAATTATGCTAAAATTCAAGTATTTTGTTACAGTTTTGTGTTTGATGATTTTTCAAGTAGTTTTTTGGGATAGGGCATGAGGCTAGTAGATTGTGTAGGGAATAATTTAGTAAGGGGAAAAACAAGCCAATGAATATTATTAACACAGTGTGGTCATTATGAGTAGACTGATCGTAATACTTTGGCGGGGCATGAATATCCGAGGAAATTTATTTCTGGGGATGACAACTGAATCTAAAAGTCCAGCTGAAAGATGACAGCATGGAGAGAATTGGTCAGAGCATGTGCAAGCGGAATGGCAGCAGTACCTGGGAGGCTAAAACTCTAGAATGCAGAGAGTGAATAGGTGTGGCCGGATGTGTTAGGAAAGGTTATTGATGCTAGATTATGTAAAGCTTTTTTGTTTATGAGATCTGTTGCTTTAGGTTATTAGTATTTATTTACTTTGTTAGCTATGTGTTGTAGGAATAACCCAAGAAGACAGAGAATATTGTTATGATCATTGTAAAATAAGGAATTGAGAGAGTGTAGATATATTTCATAAAAAGCTCTAGGGTAAACAGATAGGAGATAGAATTTTACATTGATTATTTTGACAGCTTCTAATAACTACAATTTTTTTTTGTATCTAGCATTTTTCCAGGCTGTAAGAAAGTTTGCATTTGACCTTGTATACAATATAGAGCTCTTTAAGGATTTTTAAGTAGGGACATAAAATTTGTGTTTTGTGTTTGTCCAAATGTTGAAAAGGAGTTAGAAAAGCAGAGCAGTATTTAATTTTTATGTATTATATAAGCTGAGTTTTCCAGCAGTTTGACTTATGTATTTTTGTTCCTTTACAGCTTAAGTGAGCATAGTAATGGTTTCCATATTATAGTAGTAGATAAAAAAATTAAATGGAATAAGTTAGTGACTTTAGCTATGATGAGGTTGATGATGGCCTCAGTAATGATAGATTAATTTTTTTTACCTCAAGCTTAATTTTAATTATTAAAATGTCATAGATTGTCTTATATTACTTGCAGACTTTAGAATACAATTTTTCAACGAAATATTAACTACCACTTTCTGTCTCCTACGATTATTATTTTTATATTTCAGTTCATGGGAAAACCAGATGGAGACTATTATACTCTGGATGACATGTTTGTCTCCAAAGCAGCTGAAAAAGAGCATTTTGGGGAAAGAGAAGAAAGCCAGAGGAGGAAAGCGATTGCCGAACACCAGAGTCTTACTGCACAGATGGCCAGATGTCTGTACTGTTTTGATAGTTCTCAGTTTCCCAAGCATCTCATTGTTGCCATTGGTGTGAAGGTAAGAAATAAAACAGACAAGGTACAGGTCAGTATATGCAAATTTGTTTGCTCTTCAGATTTTTAGAAAATTTTTAAAGTTTTTATTTATCTTGATTTTTCATATGTTTTTGTTTTCTAAGTTACCATAATTCTTAGGGCCTTTGTTGGAGAACATAATTCAATTTTGTTGACAATATAATTCTGGCTTTTCTGTTTTCTATCTTTATGATCTAATGATTGAATTGAAATCAGCATTAAAATCTTCCCTTAGAGTCTTTATCTAAAGCAGCTTTCATTTCTTTACTTACTTCCTCATAGTAATAGAGTGTATTTGAATTCTTGTAGACTGTGTCATAGTTTGAAAACTTATTGCAGATATTTTACCTTGGTTGGGTTTTTCCCAATGTCTTGAAGCTTCAGGAGTACAGAAATAGGTAACTTTGCTCACCATTGTATTCCAAGCATCTTATCTTCACAGTATATCATAATCATTTATTCAATAAATACTTGTTGATGACTAGTTTTTACATTATAAAAATTAGTTCATTTAAAAATGTTTATTCTTTTAAGGATTTGGTGGGGGCAGTATTAGTAAGATGTGAATCTAGGGCTCCATCTAGGCAAGTGCTGTAGGTAGTTGTACTTCTGAATCTTTTATTCTATTGAAATATAATAAAATTAGCAAATTAAACTTTACCCTGGTTCAGAAAGATATTGTCATAAAGTGAGAACAAAATCATGGAAGGATTTACTTTGAAAACAAGTTCTAGAAATCTTGTCTGAGGCACCAGTGAATGAAAAGCCTTGATAGGGAACAGAGAAAAGAGAAACACCTAGAATAGCCCTCCTGTAATCCTGACACTTGGAGGCAGAGTCCAACAGATCTCTCAACTTGAGGCCAGCATGGTCTACAGAGAGTTCTAGGACAGCCAGAACCACACAGAAAAACCCTGTTTAAGGGAAAAAAAAAAATACTGGAGTGGATTAAATGAGAATGGGTGACTGAGGCTGAATGAAGAAGTTCTGGTTTTAGGAAGTGATAGTTTAGGGAACATTCATATTTATATATTATCTTTCTCATCACTCATATACATATGAATATCTCCTTGTATATAATAAAAAAGTAGTTCTGGGTTATAGATAATTCATATATGTATATAGAGTTCAACCATAAAGGTAAAGTTATCCAGGAATCATTTTCTTTCCCTTAGTTAACTCAGTTTTCTCCCATAATTAGAGAAATCGCTGATACACATAGTTTACACTGTCAACAAAAGAAAACAAAAACAAAAAGCTTTTTTTCTAGAGCCAAGCTTGAGTGACCATAGCCCAGAAACACTGATCTAGGTCACCTCAAGTTCCATATTCCAGGGTGCTAGCAATTTCTTAATTAGAATAACAGATCAAGGAAAAAACCCACCAAGATAATTTTCATGTATGTTTATGAAAACAGCAGGTAGGTAAGTTATAGAACAGCCAGGAAATCTCAGCAATCTGAAGCTTTTTAGCTTTTTAGACATTCTGGAAGGTTTGCCTATTGGTTACAGGGATGTTAGCTCTTACACAAGAAGGAAAATAAATGACTATCTACTAAGGAGTAAAATGTTAGCTCAGGGTAATTTGGTTCTTGACTTCTAGCACTTTAGGCTCCTCAACAAGTACAGCTCTGTCTGCTTCATTAGCTCTAAACAGCATAAGGTGCAGTTCTTCCAAGAACTTCCATTCATAAGATTTACATTGTGTCTTTTTATTTTTCAAAAATTGTTGTTTTTAATGTTTGTAAGTATATAGTTCCCTCAGATAAAAGATAAAGTGGCTTTTGTTCTTGTCCTTTTTTGGTAAATCTTAGTTTTTGATGTCTATCAATGAAAACTGAGACTCATGCTCTAAATTTCCAGTTTATTAAAAACTATTTCTGTGGCGTTTTAAGTATAAATAGCATCTTTGAGAGTATTGAAATAAAACTAGTTTATAAAAGCAAATCTGCCTTTTTAAATACTCATGGTTTCACTACTGTATTCTCATCTGTTATAATCATAACTAAATAATACATCATTAAAATTTGCCCCTAGGTTTATTTATGTTTACCCAATTTCCGGTCTCTTACTGAGGGCCACTGCCTCATAGTCCCTCTGCAGCATCTTCAAGCAGCTACAATGTTGGATGAAGATATCTGGGAGGAGATTCAGGTCAGTACTGTCATGCTCATTGTCTGCAAGGCTCATGAGGAGGTTTTGCAGATTATTATGATAAATTCAAACAGGTTTGATATTTCTACTTAACAATTTTTAGGTGTCTGTAAGATCATTATGTTTCCTTCTCTTACTATTATTTTCTTCATGTTCTTGTTTTGAAATCTTTTGTTTACTGAGAGAACTAACAAAGTAATTTTAAAAATCAATTCAATTTATAATTAGTGCTTTGTGCAGCTTGAGATAATAATTGTTACTAAATATTAGAAGAAAGAAGTTCCAAAGAATGAAAATATGTGGAGTCAGAGTTTTACAGGCAGCAATTACTGTTTGCCCTCTGACTGTGGTGATTGTGCTGCCATATCAGCCCCCGTTTCTTCTTGGTTCTCTTTATAGCATACCCTGGCAATGAAGTCAGTTACATGAGTTAGTTATATAGTTTTGTGGCTGATACTTTGAGAGATTGAAAGGCATCGCATGGGTTAAATTGTTGCTGAATTATTTCAAGATTTCATATTGACCAAGAAAGAAAGCATGATAAGTGCTGTCGGCTGAGTTGAGGTTTCAGAGACCCAAGATAGAAAATGTGAAGTTGTAAGATGTCACATAGATGACAGTATATATTAGTTTTAGAGAATATGGATAAAATGCCAAAAGAGGACATGTTTGCCTGCATTTTATGAAATACAGTCTCTTATTTCTTTGAATTTTGAGGTTGATACTTTAAAAGTTCATGGAACAATTATGTTGTTGTGTCAAAAGCCAAACATAATTAGCAACAAAGACAGAATATTTTTGATGTGAAAAAATGGAAGTGCTAGTGACACTAGGTAATTTTATGTAAAAAGTATGAAACTTTGGTCTTTAGGATTATTAGAGGACTTTTCTGGGGTACATTTAAAAATTTATGAAAAATTGATTTAACTTACAATAAAATACAGTGCAAAAAAACATTCAATTACAAGAATCTTACATGTATGTTAGATTTTTCTGTGAGGAATTAAGTGGTGAAAAACCTCAAGGTGGTTGAAGCATTTTTTCAGTGCCCTAGGAAGTCAACACATAAACATGGTATTTTAGGTGCTATACCCAACGGTGTACTGTTGTCTACTATAGGCTGCATTCTTGTTTGCAGACTTCATTGAGCCAGTGGTATTTTAGAAAACTGAGAGAGGAAAAGCCAATCCGTATACAAATAATGTCATTGTAGTTCTTGTGAAAGGAAAAACATTAGACATTGCACATGTGTGGAGAGTGGCATGCTGAGATGATTTTACCTTCAAATATGTATGACTCTGAAATTAATTATGCTCTGGTGACTAGTCCTCTATGCTTTTTTTATTAGATATACTTTGAAAAGTGATTTGACTTAGTACAAGAGTATTGCTTGAAAATGAAGGAGCTCTTTTTCAGTGATTTTCTTTTTAAGTACCTGAAAACACTGGATTTGACCTTATGTTTGGCAGAAAATATTCAGATAGTTTCATCAAAGCATTCTTGAACAACCACAATTGCAAATGAGAACGATTCAAATTGTATAGTATTTTTTAGTTGAGCTTGAAGAAAAATTTGCCTTTAATGCAATTCATTATCTCAAATTGTTTCATCTAACCAGTGCTTTTTGAGATTAAAAACCTTTGCGAATGTGTAGTAATTTTTCAATATATGTCTGTCATATTTTTCCCGTCTTCTAGATGTTTAGGAAATCATTGGTAAAGATGTTTGAAGAAAAAGGATTGGATTGTATCTTTTTAGAGACTAACATGGGCATGAAGAAGCAGTATCATATGGTTTATGAGTGTATCCCTCTCCCAAGGGAAATGGGTGATATGGCTCCCATCTATTTTAAGGTATTATAAACAGTTTTTTTGTATATTTTTATTATTTTTACATTGAATTGTGGGTGAATATATGTGTAGTAATGTATTTTTTAAAAATATAGTCATACCAAATTTTATACAAAGAAATGAGGTAAGCATAAAATATTCTAAATACATTTCTATATAATGAATTTTGAACTTTTTGTTTAACGAGGTTTGCTTAGACCTATAAATAAACTATCAACAGTGACTTACAGTTTCTGTTTTAATACCTCTAGTGAAGTCATTGTTTTACCAGGTACTTCCAAATATAACTCTAGAAAAATGACTTCATCCAGTTGTAAATTGGGAATAACAGCCTGTCTGACATACTTTAAATTGGATTTAATTGAATGGTAATTTCACCTTAAAATGTGTTCCTTAATGGTAGCCAAAAGTAAAAAATAAAAAAGATTATTTTACAAATAGTACCTATACTTTTTAACTTAGGAAGCCTTAAAGCCTTAAAATTCCATTTCTATGTATTTTTATCCCTACTTTTAAAAAGTAGACTTTAGTTTTAAGAATAATTTTTCTCAAAATGTTTACTACCAGTTGTTTGGTCCTAAGTAGTTTTTGATACTCACAAATAATATACATTTGAACTAATTTGAGTAGATTTCTATGCATTCAAAAAGAAATTTGTGAAATTTGTGTTTATCTTAAATTATTTACTCTTCTCAAGGATAGCTTTTTTTCACATGAAGTTGAGGTAGTCACTATAGAGTTAGGAAATAAAATAATATTATCTCTGACTAAAATTTGTTCTTTAAAACATTAAGTAGTTCTAGTTTTAAATCCTCTAATTAAGGCTTTTACCCATTCATAACAAGTCTGTCCTATGCACTGAAATCTGCATTCACCTAAAAAACAAAGCAACAATAAAACATGTCTCTTTGTGTTTGCTACTCTATTGATTTTTTTCTGTTTTGTTTTGTTTTTCAAATGGTTGTTTCCTAGAAAGCCATAATGGAATCTGATGAAGAATGGTCCATGAATAAGAAGTTGATTGACTTATCTTCCAAAGATATTAGAAAGTCTGTGAGTATTGAGTTTTCTGTAATAGAAATTACTATAGTATGGGACTCTTTGTAAATGTGAATTCTCTTGTTTGAGAATTAGGCCATTTGATTGAGTGAGTAAAGGTGAAGCAGAAGTACATTTCACCAAGAAACTATTTTCATTCTGTGTGGTCTATAAAATCTCATTTGTTTATTGGAGCAGTTTATTTGTTCAAATAAGTTTTTCTTCCTGGTCCTCAGCCTCTTGCCCTTTTATTCACCATAATCAGCTATGATGGCCACTGGATTCTGCTGTGACTGCATCTCAAGAGAACACTTTTGTCACTGGTGTTTTAATGTAAGAAGCAATTTGTGTTGGCTCCATTTTGAGTTTAGAATACCCTAGCTCTTTTTCTGCCCCCTCTTTCTTCCCATTCCATTAAAAGATATGTGTGCATATGTGCATTTGTGTATTAGCCTTCTACTGTGCTTTAGACAGGGTCTATTGGTTGCGGCTATATACACTAGGCCAGCTAATGTGAGCTTTCAGGGATTCTCTTGTCTATACATTCAGTCTTGCCGTAAGAATCCTGAGGTTATGTATGTATGATACCGCATCGAGCTTTATTGGGTTCTGGGGAACCCAACTCAGGTCTTTTCACTTGTGTGGCAAAAACCTGCTAAGCCATTTCCCTGACTCCAGATTTGTTTTTTATACAAAAGTTCCCTGCTACATTCCTAGAATATAGTAGCTGGGTTAGATTCTGTGTTTGCCACTTTCTTGGGGATTTGCTGAAGGTTGTTGTATCGTTCAGTTTTGACTTTTAGGTCAACTTTTAGATACAATATAGTAACTACTTCTCTAGTGACTATTGTTTGTAGAAATGAAAATTAAATTGGTTAGAGATTAATAAACAGATTGTTTTTGAATTTTCTTTTTAAAATAACTCATTCTGTTAGTCTTCATTGCTTGCCTGCCATTTACCAGCTCTGTTCTGGGCATGCTCTGTGTAGTAGATCAGAACAGAAAAGGTGGTTGCTTTTATAGAGTTTACTATAGTGAAGGCTGTCAGTTCATTATGCTAAACCCAGTCTTCCATACACAGTTGTTTTTTTAAAAAAAATACAGCTGTTCTCGCCTGTAAATTGCCCCTGTAGGTTTTCATGCTGCTATGGGATCAATAGTCTACCAGAGACTAGATGACCTGCAAACCATAAAAAGCATTTCAGCATGAGACCTTTTGACAGAAAATGTTTGACCACTGCTGTTTAAATAGATACCTTTGGAATATGTTCTCTACATTTCTGCTTTTGGAAAGTCAGGCATCTTAGTCAAAACTCATGGATGGCTAGCATTCCCTGTCACACTGACAGCCAGTCCAAAGATGCATATTTTGTAGCACTAGTTAAGTTATAGTTTTAACTTAGAGGTGAGTGTTGGCTGTCATCTTTTTCTGTTCCATCCCTAGACAACTGGACCAGAATTTAAGGAGAAAAAAAAAATCCTAATTGTTTTCTTTACTCTTCTTCCTACTGACTCATTAAAACAGTGTTTAATGTAGTAGCTCTCACCCCGAATCAGTTTTCTGGTCTTGAAATGACATTGATGTTTAAGTAGAGGGCCAAGGATGGGCACATCTAAGCAGTTCCTGTAAAGCTGTAGGCCTACCCTCCATGGACCCATCATTCTCTGGGCTTCAGTTTTCTTCCATGAGGTGATTTGACAAGTTGTTAAATGGTGTGAAGTCTCTTTCCAAGCAAGAGACTAGTTCCCCTCCAGCAGGTGCCTTTTTTTGTTCTTTTTTTATTTTTCCATTCAAAAATGTACACTTCCACCCCTCCTCCTATTCCCCTCCCGCTCCCCCACTCACCCTCCTCCAATCCCCTCCCTCCTTAAGAGAGGACAGGGTACCCTGCCCTGTGAGAAGTCCAAGGTCCTCCCCCCTCCACCCAGGCCTAGGAAGGTGTGCATCCAAATAGGGTCCCAAAAAGCCAGTACATGCAGTAGAAACAGGTCCCAGTGCTATTATCAATGGCTTCTCAGTCTGCCCCCGTTGGCAGAAACATTCAGAGAGTCCGGTTTGATCACATGCTTGTTCGGTCCCAGTCCAGCTAGATTTGGTGAGCTCCCATTAGATTAGGCATACTGTCTCAGTGGGTGGACCAACCCCTCGTGGTCCTGACTTCCTTGCTCATCTTCTCCCTCCTTCTGCTTTTCATTGGACCTTGGGAGCTCAGTCTGTTGCTCTGATGAGGGTCTCTGTCTCTATCTCCATCCGGCGTAACATGGTGATATTCGAGATAATCATCAGTGTGGTAGTGGGGGAAGGCCAGTTCAGGCACCCTCTCCTCTGCTGCCCAAGGACTGTACCTGGGGACATCCCCATGGACACCTGGGTTCCCCTCTAGAGCCAAGTCTCTTGCCAACTCTAAAATGGCTCCCTTAATGTAGATATCTTCTTCCCTGCTACTATATCTGCCCTTCCTCCATCTCTACCCTCCCACTCCCCCAAGCTCTCCCCAGTCTTTCCCGTCTCCCTTCTCTCTCCCCCTCACCCCTTCCCCCAACCTCACCCCCACCCCTACTCCCACCCCCATTCTCCAAACTTCTGCCCGGTGATCTTGTTTGCTTCCAATTTCCAGGAGGAACTATATATGTTTATCTTTGGGTTCACTTTTTTGGGGGGGCTTTTTTAGCCTTGTCAACTATAGGCTCAATGTCCTTTGTTTATGGCTAGAGTTCACGAATGAGTGAGTACATACCATATTCATCTTTTTGGGTCTGGATTACCTCACTCAGGATAGTGTTTTCTATTTCCATCCATTTGCATGCAAAATTCAAGATGTCGTTTTTTACCACTGATTAGTACTCTAATGTGTATATATTCCACACTTTCTTTATCCATTCTTCCATTGAGGGGCATCTAGGTTGCTTCCAGGTTCTCGCTATTACAAATTATGCTGCCATGAACATAGTTGAACAATATAATTGGGCATCTCTTGGGTATATTCTCAAGAGTGGTATTGCTGGATCCTGAGGTAGGTTGATTCCCAATTTCCTGAGAAACTGCCACACAGATTTCCAAAGTGGTTTCACGAGTTTGCATTCCCACCAGCAATAGATCAGTGTTCCCCTTACTCTACATCCTCTCCAGCATAGGCTATCATTGGTGTTTTTGATTTTAGCCATTCTGACAGGTGTAAGATGGTATCTCAAAGTAGTTTTGATTTGCATTTCCCTTATCGCTAAGGAAGTTGAACATGGCCTTAAGTGTCTTTTGACCATTTGAACTTCGTCTGATGAGAATTCTCTTTTCAGTTCAGTACCCCATTTTTTAATTGAGTTAATTAGAATTTTTTTAATGTCCAGTTTCTTGAGTTCTTTGTATGTTTTGGAGATTAGACCTTTGTCTGATGCAGGGTTGGTGAAGATCTCCCATTCAGTAGAATGCCTTTTCATCTGAATGACAGTGTCCTTTGCTTTGCAGAAGCTTCTCAGTTTCAGGAGGTCCCATTTATTCAATGTTGCTCTTGTTGTCTGTGCTACTGGAGTTATACATAGGAAGTGATCTCCTGTGCCCATATGTTGTAGGGTACTTCCCACTTTCTCGTCTATCAGGTTCAGTGTAGTCAGATTTCTATTGAGGTCTTTAATCCATTTGGACTTGAGTTTTGTGCATGGTGATAGATATGGATCAATTTGCATTCTTCTACAGGTTGACATCCAGTTACGCCAGCACCATTTGTTGAAGATGCCTTCTTCCATCGTATACTTTTAGCTCCTTTATCGAAAATCAGATGTTCATAGGTTTGTGGGTTAATATCCAGATTTCCGATTCTATTCCATTGGTCAACATCTCTGTTTTTATGCCAATATCAAGCTGTTTTCAATACTGTAGCTCTGTAATAGAGTTTGAAGTCAGGGATGGTAATGCCTCCTGTAGCCTTATTGTATAAGATTGTTTTGGCTATCCTGGGTTATTTGTTTTTCCATATAAAGTTGATTATTGTTCTCTCAAGGTCTGTGAAGAATTTTGTTGGGATTTTAATGGGGATTGTGTTGAATTTATAGATTGCCTTTGGTAGAATTGCCATTTTTACTATGTTGATTCTACCCATCCAAGAGCATCCTTCCATTTTCTGGTATCCTCTTTAATTTCTTTCTTCAAAGCCTTAAAGTTCTTGTCAAATAGATCTTTCACTACCTTGGTTAGTAATACCCCAAGATATTTTATGCTGTTTGTGGCTATTGTGAAAGGTGATGCTTCTCTGTTTCCCTCTCTGCTTCTCTATCCTTTCTGTGTAGGAGGACTACTGATTTTTTTTTTTTTTGAGTTGATCTTGTATCCTGCCACATCAGTGAAGGTATTTATCAGCTGTAGAAGTTCTTTGGTAGTGTTTTTTGGGTCACTGATGTACACTATCATATCATCTGCAAATAACTAAAGTTTGACTTCTTTTTTCTGATTCAAATCCCCTTAATCTCTTTATGTTGTCTTATTGCTATTGCTACAACTTCAAGAACTATATTGAAGAGTTATGGAGAGAGTGGACAGCCTTGTCTTGTTCCTGATTTTAGTGAAATGGCTTTGAGTTTCTCTCCATTTAATTTGATATTAGCTGTTGGCTTGCTGTATATTGGTTTTAATATATTTAGATATGATCCTTTTATCCCTAATCTCTCGTAGACCTTTACCATAAAGGGGTGTTGAATTTTGTCAAATTCTTTTTCAGCAGCTAATGAAATGATCATATGTTTTTTTTTCTTTTAGTTTATTTATATGATGGATTACATTGATAGATTTTTTTGTATGTTGAACCAGCCCTGCATCTTGGGATGAAGCCTACTTGATCGTAATGGATGATTTTTTTGATGTGTTCTTGGATTCAGTTTGCCAGTATTTTATTGAGAATTTTTGCATCGATGTTCATGAGCGAGATTGGTCTGTAATTCTCTTTCTTGGTTGAGTCTTTGCGTGGTTTTGGTATCAGGGAAACTGTAGCTTCATAAAAAGAGTTTGGCAATGACTCATTTGAAAC